TAACAATAGAATTATATTTCTTCTACACTTGGACCTATGTCCCTCTACATAAACTATGAGATAAATAGTGCACCTGTTACCTAATGTTTAATATAGTGTGACTTTTTAAAAACTTACTATATGACAAAATTGGAATTTCTGGAAGTACGCGTAAGTGGAGACCCTTTGCTTTCGTAACAGAAATTAAAAATGAATTCAATCTTTATGTATAAACACATAAGTTTATGGGTATGTGCGTGTCCTATAAATAAAGTCACATTATGTTTTAATATGTTAAGCGACAATGTGGCTAACGACGGTAATCGTTTGTTTAAAGGTTTTAGGTTTCAGTAATTGTTTAAACTAAAAGAAATATGCTTCTTTGCATTTTTCAAGCAATTAGATTGTTTATAACGGCTCTAACACCATGCAGGAAATTAAGAACAGGATTTTTTTTTAGTATTTTGGTCGGAGGGAGAGTCCCCACATAACCCCTGAGTCTCCTTGAGCTCAGGGGTATCCATAAAGATTTACCCCTGTAAAAAAACTGTGTCTTTTTTACATGACTTCAAAAAAAGGAGGAGGTTCTCAATTCGACTGTATGTTATTTTTGCATGCGTGTTACGTGATAACTGCGGCATTTGTGAATCGATTTTCATGATTCTTTTTTGTTGGAAAAATAGGACCTCCATAGTGGTCCCATTTAATTTTGAAGAAAATCATCCACCTTTAAACCCTTCAATCTTTCTATCTTAAATTAATCTCTCATGCGTGAACAGCCACCCGGCTGTTCACGCATGAGAGATTAATTTTTATAAATAGCGCCTAAATTTTATTATAAGGAGCAATTATTTTAATGGTTGATTTTGTTATTCTCCAATTCAAGGCGTTTTTCTCTCTGAATATACTTTGAGTAGTGAGACCCGATTTTTATTATCTCCTGTGTCAAGTCCCGTATAGTGGCGAACTAGGGGATGAATCAGGGTTTGCGCACTTTCCGGTAACCGATTTCAATAAAAACTTGGTAATTATATGTAGTGCCACGTACTTTTGAAATCGGGCTTTTTTTACTTTGATTTGATTGACAGACATGTAAAATGATGACAAACATGGAAAATTCTTGAACCATCTTAATTATTTTAGTACTAAGATTCAGTTTACTATGGGACAAGAGAATTGTGGTTCTTTAGTCTTCTTAAATGTTTTAATTTAAAAAATCCTAATAACACCTTAGGTCATAGAGTATTTCGAAAGAAAACTCATACAGATAGGTACCTCAACGGTAATTCTAACATCCAAAAAAAAAAACCTAATTTCAACAGGGAAGATGGTTTCTCTGTACCACCATTTGGGATCCAATGTTTAATTTGATGGAAAATCCCAAACAGACATAAGACTGCAGTACTAATTAATGTTTTAATTTATTCTAATTTCTATTATTAATTAATAATAAATTGAACTTAATAAAAAATTGATTTTAGATTGATTCAATGAAATAATTTGTAAAACATAATGTAGTGTAAATTGGAATGTTTTCTTTGTAAAATCAAAATTAAGTATTTAATTAACAACTTTTGTAACTATAATGGGTAAAATAGGGTGAATTGCATTAATATTAGACATAAATGGTTGATGACTATACCACCTCAGTCAACCGTGACCATGGGACCTGTAAAGGGCCCGAAACGTCGGTTTGTTTGAAAAAACAAATATACGCGATTGAAATTTGGAAGAATACTTTCATTTCCTATATGTAAACTGATTATAATCCGCGTGTAATTATTGTTTAATTATCTTTTATAACAATATCAATGGGGGCACTGTTTTGTATTGAATAGTTTAGCTTTAAGAAATTGAGGAACAGGAAATTTTTAGCATTTTAGTCAATTTAGTATTTTTTAATGTTTGACTTTTGATGACTAAACTTTGCGTTAGAAGAATCCATTTTGCTCGTAATTATTGAATTAAGTAACTTTTATATCAGCTTGCAAGTGGCTGAAAACTAGCCGACAAGCCAAGAAAAAAAAATATAACAACATTTTGTTCATAAAACGAGATGCTCTCTATTTTGTTTTGAATTTCCAACCTCGAAGTTTTGAATAGTTTAGCTTTGTTCACACAAAGTACGAACAAAAGATAATAAATATTCATAATTTTCTCTTAGGACTCCCAGTCTTTAAGATTTCATTGCATAAGTTCTTTATTTATTAGGATGAAGTATTTGAAGACGAATAGTAATTTCATTGCTTTCTTCACTGCTGTAATTACGTCTTCACATTCAACTAATTATCTCATTTGGAATTCCTTATTTCTCGTGACTTATACATATGATATTGTACCATAGTATATAGTATTAACATCATAATGTAAGTATAAGAATTAGAAGTAATATTTTCGTATCCAATGTTGAGGACTTTTGAATATCAACGCTGTAACAGTCCGGCAGAACTAGTCGTAGTTAGTAGGAGTAGAGCTCCTTGTGAAAGAGTTCGTCCAGGGAAGTACTGTCACCTTACCTATTCCTGCCGCCAGCATTAATGTCAGCATTACTGTCTTTCGGTTTTGAAGAGTAAGGGTGCTGGTGAAATTACAGGCACATGGGACTTGTCAATTTATATCTCAGGGTGACGGGCGCAGTGGCAGTGCCCCTCAGATCTTTGCGATTTAAAGCTCTGAGTGGCACTGCAACTGTTATGGAGCTTACCATCAGGCGCACGACTTGTTCGTCCCGTCACTTGATATTACAAAAAAGAATCGTAACCTAAATTAAACAGAATCAACCTAATTTATTAACTGGTGTGTATGAAAAAAGTCTCCCCACACGACGTACCATTCTTTTTCAGTACGTCTGGCGTACCCTGGGCAACAATTGGCGAGTACAGTACGCCGATTGGCAAATCCTGTCATCACAAGCATTATAGTGCATGCCATCGACATGATAAAAAGAATTAATTTTTCAATGTTTTTCAGTGTTTTTCAGTCGAATTTAAGTGGAATACGGTCCAATACCTACTGGTCAATGATAGGTGTTGGACTTCATATATAAACAATATGCTCAATGGCTTATAAGAACACGGATGACCGTACACTGTTATAATTAGTCGTTTTTGGTAACGGTAAAAAATTAACGAGTCTGTGATAGAAAATTAGTGAAACCGAAGTAAAAACAAATAAAAACGTATTAATTTCGAAAAAAGAAATATTTTAGTAATTTTTTAAAGTTTTATCGTCGGAAGCTTTGAGGTTTATAAAAATAATTATATTAGAGATGAAACGGGTAGTGAATCGGCCGGATACCGGATATCCGGCGAGCGTTAAGGCTGAATGGATCCGGCCCTTTGCTGCAATAGACGAAGAGACTGTAGAAGCTGAGAGAGCTCGACAGTAAACTCTGTAGTTCAAAGAGAGGTCGTGACCTCCCATACAAAATTAAGTCTGTTCCAGCTCAATAGAAACATATCTCAAATTTTTCTTTATAATATTAGGTAAATGAATTAAACGTTTTTTTTCTTTATCAGTGGCTAACACGTCAACTTTGCTCTTGTTTTCACACAATGTATTTTCATGTTTAAACAAAAGCCTACCACATTTTTTGTTCTCTATACATAACAAAAGCTGTGGTAGGTATATATGCATACACAAACTATGTATATATTACTTGGCGCTCACCCCAGGATAAAGACATCTTGGTATGTAGCTCACTGATGATGAAGATGTCGTTACATACCAAGATGTGTTTGATCACCTCGCATTAGGTACATACAGAATAGTAGTTTTTTTTTCTTAATTTTGTTAATATCATTTATACACTTCTTGGTCACTTTATACTGCTTTGTAATAAATAGTTGTTAAATAGTAAACAAAAAGTGGCGCCTGAATAAAAACAAGAGGCAACGTTGACATGTTAGCCGCTGACATCGAAACAAAAACTATTTAGAATTTGTATATCTAATATATATATATATATATAAATCCCAGGTATGTTTGTTTTGCACCGGGACTGGGGCAAATTTGACCATTCCCTTTTGTACTAAATTTCTAGCGTATGTTACAGTTATAAATATATAGATTGTAAACATCGTGTACTTTCTACTACTCTTTTATTATACCTCTTAATCAATAAATCAATTTATTTAGGGCTCTTAATGCGAATTTTATAAGTTTTGAACACTAAATATCCGATGGGATATTGTTCCACAATCCGGTGTACGGCCGCGTAATAAAATTAGGTACGACATTACGGATACCGGATTATTACCGGATATCTGTTTCGTCTTTTAATTATTTATTATTGAGAACCACGTTAATACTGTCAAAAATCTTATAGAAAAGTCAATTCACGTATTATACTTCTACCAACACAGTTAGGGCGCGTTTATTCGACACGAATTTCGCCGCCGCCGCGCAGCGACCGCGTGCATCTAACTGTCATGGTAAAATATGCTCTATTCGTGTAGATTTTACGTTTTGTCTCAAATAAGCGTCAACGCGGCTTTCGCACGGCGACCGCGCGGTCGTATCACTTCAAAGAATTTAAAATTTTGTTACCCAGTAAATAGAATTCGTTAATTTAGGTACAAGCGTGGTAACTAGCGTGAAAACTGTCGCTTCGTGTAACTGGGCACCTAAGGTAAATTTTTAATGGGTTCGTTGAGTACGGTTGTGAAGTTATAACACTGATATATAAAAAAGACTTAAATCAAATGATGAAATGTCATTGCCTACAGTCAGAAGTATGTCAAGCTTGACACTTTGGCCTCGTCAATGTAACCGTCTACTTCTGCGAAATTGGAAACATTTTAAAATTGAACTTCGAAAAGTACTATTATTAAATGACGCTACACAAACATCGGTGGCGCTGAATATTTTCTTCAAAAAATAAATAATAGTCACTACGTATATCTATAGGCAGATGTCTTTTCGTGCTAAAAAATAAAACTGCAAACCCTAGAAGTGTCATTGTGGTCACGACAAGACACTTTAATTGTCCAGTATATTAACGCAAGTTGTTGTACTTCACTGACAGTAGCTCTTGCACTCCATAAGGGCACAGTGTAACTCAATAAAATGAAAGTGTTAATAAAATTTATACATTTTACCATCTTTTTGGTCGGTCTGGGCAGTGCCTCGGGTAAGTTATAGTATTGTTTTTGTGCTTTTAAAAAGTTCTGGTTTCGTTCGAAAAATATTTTTCTATGAGCTTGTTTGTCCGCGATTTTCTTTGTAATGAGAGCCGATTTATTATTTATTTATTTATTATTTCAGTAGGTATTGTAGGAAATTTGTAAATTAAACTCATTCATTCAGGAAATTCGTAAGCTTCGTACATTTTGGGCAACAACTTTTGTGCTTACTTACTTGTATGCAATCTATGATTATAACTTTAACTAAAATAAAGATATAATCATATACCTTTAGTCTAAAAATTATATTGTATATTATATTACCCGATATTACGCTTGAAGAGTAAAGTTTAGTTTAGTTTTTAAATTTTAAGTTTTTTTGATTTTTAAATTTAGATTGACACAAAATTTTATTTTTCATTATGTTACTAATGGTGTAATTGTAACATAATAGTAAACAAGAAATTCCGATTCGAATTTCTAAATATTTATTTTTCTGTCAGTATTGTAAGATACGCCGTGCTAAGTAAAGGGAAGATAAATAATTGCTTCCCGTGTTCTATTAACCTAGCTAATATGTGGATTTCCTTGAAGTTACTATGACATTGTATGATTGCAAAACTAAATGTATAGATGTATAACATCTTATCTTATATAGATGTATATATCTTATTAACAGTGTAATTATCATTTTGTTGCTTTCATGTTTGCAGATGTAGAAATACTCAGGCCTGTTAACAGAAAGTTCAAAGCTCATGTTAAAAATGTACTAATAAGAAAAACTTAATAAAAAATCAATGATTACATAGATGATACGAACCCATGGTGTACTTCCAGGTTTTAAATGTTTGTGATGATACTAAAAAAATCATTTTTCTCAGGTGAAGTTCACCTTCTAAGGAGTAGTGGTTTTGAATTGATGTAACGATTTCATGTGGAATTTGATTACTTACGAAATAAAGATATTTGATTAGATTATTATTACCTAAATTTTAACTTTAAAGCATTATAATCAGCACCGGTTTTCAATGGATGAGTCATATGCCCCATTATCTCCAAATCTGCAGCGGAGAAGAGCTCTCCTGAGAAAATTCTTTGTACAAATGGAAATTTCATAGGGAATCCAAACCAGAATAATTTTGTTTTGCAATTTATACTTCATGGATTTATTACCAAATATTGTTAACAAAAAACGAGTTGTTGCGTGTTATAAATAGGAATGTGGTAATTTTTAATTACTTTCATAATTATTAATGGAATTAGACGATTAGTGGATTTTAACCGAGAAGTCTACGTCACTGGTAAGAAAGTATAATTTATTTTTAATGTTTCGTGGAATTTGGGTATTGCAACACGTAGTGCGTAAAATTTGTGGCAAAACCCATTATGGATTAAAAGAATCATAATAACTAATTAATATTTTTAATATCATGTTTTTATTGAGATTTGTTTTTGTGAAATTACTCCACTAGTTTTGTTATGATTATGAATTCAAAGATCGAACATACAGAAAAATTTCGTCGACACAGTGGTACTTGAACCCACGACCATGCTGCACCGTAGCATTGCTCTAACCGTCTGAGCCACGGGTCCAGTTACGGAGTCGTCGAAATTCTCCTATGTGTTTTTGTTATAGATCTTTGTACTGACTTTCGACATTGTTCGCTGCTAATGACATCTAGTGAGAGATTTTTGAAAACTTTTCTGTGTGTTCAATCTTTGTATTCATAATCATCACGACGTTTTTTTTCTCACTATTATGGTATTCATATAGTTTCTGTGAGAATACTTCACTAGTTCGTTGTTATTATTTATACAAGGATCGAACAAACAAAGAAAACTTCCTTCAATCCGGCTGGACTCTAACCAGGGACTTCGCCATATTTATAATTCCTCCAACTGGATACGGAACGGGTCAGCCGACAATGCGAATTTATCTATATGCCCGTTACAGATCTTTTTATTTTGGTTTTTAATCCACCTAGGTTGTAGAGTCAGGAGTAAATTTGACACAAAAGATTTAAATTCAACTCTATGCCGCATATAATAGGAACTGTCCAAAGTCCACAGTGTCAAGCTTGATATGCCCTTGATATATAATTTTTTTAAAACGTGGGTAGAATATTTTCCGCATTCATGTTTTCCGGTTTTAATGCCAACAAACACAGACATACAATAACCATGTATCATGATCTTGTGATAGGTACAGAAAGTATCGAAAATACTTATTAGCAACAATAACCAGGAGGTCTACCACGAAATACGATACTACGGGATTTTGTCCGCAACGAAGGTCATACGTACTATACAAATGTCAGTTTTACGATGAAAGTAATATCAAAATTCGATAGGATGGCTGTCATTTGACATTTAGGAGTAAGGCATCCACAAAAACTTACGTGTATGTCTATCAGTGGCAACGTAACTCCAATGATGCGGCTGATTTCATTGGTTTTTTATTTGAAGCCTATTTTAATCGAGATGGTTTTTCGTGGTTCGCGGGCTGTGTTTAATGAACATAATGTATAGGTGTTTAAAGATTGAAGAATAGAAAAGAGGAAGTATTCAATTCGACTTTTTTTGTATGTGTCACGATTACTGAACGGCATTTTGGTACCGATTTTGATGATTGGTTGGATTGGTTGGTTGGATTGGTGATTGGTCCCATTGAAATTTGAAGAAGAGGCGGAATATTGCCTCTAAGACTGGCAAACTACGGGATGGATCCGGTTTCGCGAATTTTCCGGTAACCGATTTCAATAAAATTTCGCAAATAGATGTAATTTGCACGAACTTTTGAGGTTTTTTTTTATAAAAAAGTTGTCCCATCAGTCATAAAATGTTTCTATTTCTCCAATTGATTTGAAACTTATAGTATACTATGTAAATTAGATGACATTATAATAATATGGTAACCTATAATCCCAACTCCTTAACAACTACAGTCAAACTATCATGTTGGGGCTTACTAAATTAGTCTCTTCGAGTTGTTAGCTTATAGATGGTCACTCCAAGGCACCCAGAACCCCCAGATCAAAACCGAATTAGAAAATAAGATTTCCCTTATTGATCCTAACGCGAATCGAATCTTCCCCATCAAGCGCGTGAGCACTTTGCACTGTGAAGTGCAAACTGTTGGACCACTGAGGTTGTTACCCTAAGTCAACACGTTAGGATTAACTAATTCATTTGTATTGTGTAATCTCAATTGTTATATATCGTCGGCAAAATTCGGAAACCTCGTAACCTCCACTAATGTGAACTTTTGCGTAGGCATAAAAAGAAATAATTATGTGACTATCTATGATCAATTTGTTTTCTATTTAAAAACGTCTGTAAATTATATTTTAAGCTATATTGCCCCATAATACACTTGAAGAATAATAAAGGGATGTCGTCCAAAAACGTTGTTACGACGTTTTTAAATTTAGCCGACAAACAAATAAAAATGAATTAACAATATAACTGTAAAATGGCAGTGATAGGTGTTGGTGTCTATTACCTGCAGTGGAAAAGTTTTATAAAGTCTGTTACCATGTGGTCCTATAACTCCTGGTTCAAACATCAGTTTTTATAAATAGATAAAAAAACATTACATCATCAAAGTTTCGAACATCATTGTCGACTGAAAGACTGGCATCAATGGTATAATTTCTTGTTTTTTAGTTTTGCCAGTAGAAAAATGCAAGCTCGAAGACTCAACATGCCTGCAAAAGGCATTTCAAGAAGCTCTCCCGCTGTTCTGCGACGGTCTTCCGGATCTCGACATCGAAGTTCTCGATCCCATGCACATTGACGATCTGGCCTTTGATGTTTCTGGTTTACAATTTAGTATGAAAGATGGCCAGTTGAAAGGATTAAAAGGGGCTGTCTTTGAAAAAATCAAGTAAGATATTATATTTTATGTAAATAGATATATACCGTAAATCAAAATAACTTTCATCTCCTTAGGCCCCGTGTACATCAAAATGTTCATAATAATATGTGAAGTGGGTCAGATCCAGATAATATTATTCCTATGAACACACACAACACATAAACGCCTAATATACATTATAATGAAAATATCACATTAAAATTTAGCGTCATATATTCTATATAACCATAGGGTATCTAGAAAAATTTAGTAGTAGTACAGCTTCTTGTGAAAGAGTTCGTCCAGTAAAGTACTGCCACCATACCGGTTTCTGCCGCCAAGCAGTAATGTGAGCATTAATGCGTTCCGGTTCGGAAGGGTGAAATTACAAGCACACAGGACTTGTCAACTTATGTCTCAGGGTGATGGGCATAGTGAAAATGCCCCTAAGGTCTTTGCGATTAAAAGCTCTGAGTGGTACTACAACTGTTATGGATAGGCGTGTCGTTTACCCCCTGGCGCACGACTTGTTCGTCCCTGCACTTGGTACAAAAAAAAAGTTTTTCATTCAAAACTGAGGAAATACTTGCTTGTTCTTGAAGCATGTATGCATATTACGTTTTAATGTAAATTAGGCGTTAAGCGCTTTTCCCATTGTGTTTGCTGAACATTAGGAGGTTAAAGTGACACATCAAAAAGTGTACCTATATATTCTGTGTAATATAATATATAATATAATAATCCATATGTATGTATGTGTAGTCCTGGTATAGTATTTGATCCAGAAAATGTTTTGTGGTAAGAGCAATGCCATACGATACGTTACGTTGGCGTTGCGACGCCTGAGCGGTGACGCTGCGCTATATTTAATTTTATATAAGTGCCTTCAACAGTACTTCAGATAACACAGGGGAAGATATCAAAGGATTAAGAGCGATGCCACACAAGCGTTGCATCGTCGCAACGTCATGATTTCAGCGTAATAGGTTGCTTGCGGAGACGCGCCGGCGCCGTTTTTACGCATCATGATGCATTAATACGGCACCGTATATAAAAATAAATATGCCACTTATCTCTCATTAAAATTTGACTTTCAGATGGGACCTCAAGAAGAAGCGGATCGAAGTAGACTACCACCTGAACGGTGCTGTCAGGGGCCATTACACTGCGGGAGGCAGAGTTCTCATTCTGCCCATTACTGGCGATGGCCAAATGAAATTGAGACTGAGTGAGTTCATTTATTCGCAGTAGGACTGGCTACATTAAATGGAAACAAGTCATTAATCAATAGAAGTTAGTAGTTAATAGTTAATGTTTTCATACTATAAAAATTACATAAACAACTAAAAAACTTTGTAATACCAAAATGTCACTACGATCTGAACGAATTTTGCGAAGATAAATATTAAGTGATATGCATTAAATAGTATATTGTGAAGATAATACAAATATGGCATGTATTTAAATGATCATTTTAAATTTGCAAAAGCAGCTGGCAAAAACAATTTAAACGGTCATCTTTTTTAATGATTGATCCTTTTTCTCTGAGACAAAATAAATTAAATCAATGCATATAATCTGTTCAGAGCTACGCAAAAAATGTTTGATTGTATAAATTAACTTTGTTAGTTTTATGTTGGGCCTCAAAACTAAGACAAGTGAGCATTAAAAATAAAATTTAGATACCTATTTATTTTAAAAGCTAAGCAAATGTTGATCATAATTTTATACTAATATTATATTAATTATAATGTAACTTGACTCGAAAACATGCTCGGAAACGCAAGCAAACAGGCTTCTGGCACTTTCCGGCCGCAGTCGCGGTCCGCTCGCTAGATTCGCTCGGCTCGTGCTGCTTTTTCATATACTAACCTAACCTACTGAATGGAGGATGCAACCAAGGAACCAAGATTTATTAAGAGTTCAATATCAAAATATATACTGATTATAAATATTATCTATCGTTAAAAGAAAAGACCAATAATAAAAAAGAGGATCAAATATTATTTTTGAATACCAAATATTAGTTTAGTATGCTTAAACAAAATGATAGTGTTACCTTGAATGCAGTTCATTTATAATTTATCCGTAGATCAACTAATACAGACGGAACAATTAATATATATACCAAACATAAAAAAAATATCCTTTATTTAAAAAAAAGTGCATTTTTGTAATAGATCAACTATATCTTTGACGATCAAATAGTATTATCCCAAATATAATATATAGCTCTCTAAAGAAATAAAGTAAATAATATAATAAATAAATAAATATTAGACAACATCACATACTTTACGTTGCTCTGATCACAAATTTTGTGCTTGTGTCATGGAAATCGGAAACAACGACAAACATCTAGACCCGAGACAATATAGTAACGTTAGTTTTCTACATTGATCTGGCTGGGGATCGAATCTGGGACTTCAGAGATGGCGACACCATGAAAACCGGTGTGCAAGCCACTCGACCACGGAGGCCGTCATTTTAGTAGAGCTCCTTGTGAAACAGTTTGCCCAGGAAAGTACGGGCACCTTACTTATTTCTGCCGCCAAGCAGTAATGTGAGCATTACTGCGTTTTGGTTTTGAAGGGCAAGGGTGATGGTGACAGGACCATAAGAATTCTCAACTTACGTCTCAGGGTGAAGGGCGCAGTGGCAGTATCCCTCAGATTTTTGCAATTAATGCTCTGAGTGGCACTGCAACTGTCATGGATAGGCGTGTCGCTTACAACCAGGTGCACGACTTGTTCGTCCCGTCCATGTCCCGTCACTTGGTTTCATAAAAAAAGTGTTATTAGTTTATAGCTAGCATGTTTAGGTTATTTTAAGATTGTTTCCTTGTTTTTTGATACTGTTTTTATCTATAAAATACTATGGCCCTTCCAGGGTATAATATAATATAGACCTATATGTTATCTAAGACCTTTGTAAACTTTATATGGAGCAATAAATTGAATTGAATATGCTTCAGAAAACGTCGCTATCCAGATGTACATTGACTACAAGATGGACAAAGACGCAGAAGGCAAGAATCACGTGTTACCAACGAAATACGACTTTACGTTTGAAGTTAAAGATGGCGCTCATTTCAACATGTCTAATCTGTTTAATGGGAACAAAGATCTCAGTAAGTACTAAAAAGTGAAATATGTATTGTTATAATTCAAGTTTTGGATACAATTTAATAAACCGGCTTTGGAGATAAACACCTAGCTAGGTCTTGCGGCCATGAAATCTACGTTATTATGAGGATAAGCTACATTTTGTCAACAGTTTTCCGTATTATCGCGTTAATGCGGCTCAATTGGTACCAGTCTAGCTTTTTGCCGCATATATAATACTGTTTAAAAGTAATTTTATGAAACGCAACTTTTTTATTACCTTGTTTTCATGTAAAGGTAAAGTTAGGCATGTCTGCGTGAGAAACAGGATATTCTATCATTCAATAAATGGAGCCGAATCCCTTTGGATCGTTTCCAGATATTTCTACGTTATTCAAAAGTTATATTTTAGCGTAACTGGATATCAATCTTTTGTAATTTGTGAAACATGGTCTTTTTTAGATAATAAGGTAGACATTATATTCTTTTTTTAGTAATCCAACCATCATAGTTGTCAAACTACTTTTGTTTGTCACTATTCTTAATTGTGTTGCTGAAAAATTAAGTTACAATTGATTTTGGACATTTTCAGCAATTTCTCGTAACGGATAAACCTTCAGTCCTATTTTCCAATACAATTGTAATGTAGTCTAATAGCTACTTCATCTAATAAGCACGTAAAATTTTTATATCGGAAAAATTTTAAGCTGTAAGTAGGTATTATATTTTGTGTCTGCCGGCGTTCTCTAATTAAGCAAACGGTTGAGTTTTTACGCATTATGTACAATCTATTAGCACCTCCAGTGAAACAGTGACTTACCTTCCATTGGTAAAATGTACAGAAAACGAGTTAAAAGTTTCATGTTTAGGGCTACTGAGCATTTGAAGAGCTCTTAAATGTTATACTCACAGACCACATAAATGTTATACTTAAACCTCTTATTTTTTACAAAAATTTAAAATAATTTCGCACGAAACGTTCGATGCAATAATACTACAAGCATAATAATACTACAATAATAATACAAAGCAATAAAAACAATGATTATCAAAAAACGTATGGCCAAAGTATAAAATATAAATAAATTCGAAATTTGAATAAAAATATATAAAAAAGGTCTGTCGCCAGCTACTATTTCAATTAGCATTACGCTCTCTATGGAAAATTCAAGGAATGTATAATATCTACTTTTCCGTATAAATTGCATTAGTATAATGGTTTTGCAAAATATTTTTTTATAGTTAAATCTGTTTCATTGGAAGTGCGACTCGTTTTAGGTACTATTTTTTATTTTTCGTGTTAATTTCTCAGGTGACGCAATGCATTCATTTTTAAATGACAATTGGAAGCAAGTCTCACAGGAATTTGGAAGACCGATGATTGACGGTGCTGCCAAGATACTTTACAAAAACGTGAAAATATTCTTCAAAAACATACCCTTAGAAGACATCGCTGATGTTTAAGTTAGTCTTTTATGAAACTTACTTATGGAACTTTGAATAAACAGAAAGAAAAAAAAAAAAATTTCATTTGGTATAATAAAAATACTAGACATAACACGTTTCGTATTTATATGCCTTACTTTAATTTCGCAAGTCTTTGATTCTATTTAAACAATAAAGCATACACCGAGAGCTGGTACAGATCTGGTACAAATACACGGAATTAAACCCGCCGTGGTCCCGATCCGACACGCGCCCGTCACGCACCCGACTCTCACGCTCTTTTTATGTTTCACCTTTTAATGTCGACTGCCCCTTTGTTGCACTACTTGTCTTTCTACACTACGTAAGACCGCCGACGCGGACCGCACATCTTTATTGCTCTTATTACATGAACTCAAGCTGATTCCGCGTTAATAATGTTGTGATTCCCTATATCTACTTGTAATGCTTGCGTGGCGGAGCTTCGTTAGAGAGTCTGAGAATATGTCCATTGTTGGATGTATACGCCACTACAACGCATTATTATCATTATTATCATTTATAATCTATTCAGACACAAGACCGATGAAATGAGGCCTGATTTAGTGCTTCCATGTAGCGGTCATCATTTTCGAAAATATTAATGACAAATTAAAACTTTTCCCTGTTCCTGTGTCTAATGTGAATTAGCAAAACTTTTTGTAGTTGTGTCGTAAAACACAATGTTGTGATTTTTTTAAGTTACTTTTCATACTTAATACAATAATTTTTGGTTTAAGAAAATATTCATGATTTTGGAATACTATTTGTAGTTTTGTCTTTGCGTTTTCAAAAAAAAAAATAGGAAGGTCGTTCGAGGAAAGGAGGTTCTCAATTCGATTGTTTATTTTGTGCGCATATTACGTGGTTACTCCGACATTATTGCGAACCAACTTCGATGATTTTTTTTTATTGGAGAGAAGGTACCTCAGTAGTGGTCCCATTCAAATCTAAAGAAAATATTCCACCTCTAAGGGTGGCAAATTAGGGTATAAATTCGGTTTATTAGATATCACCCACATTCCTTTAACCGCCTTTAAAATTTGCCGAATAGATGTAATTTAGAGCATAAACTTTAGAGGATGTTTTTTATTAATTATAAAAATGTCAAAACATTAAAAAAAAGAAAGAGAAAATTTTGAATTTACTAACAGCCGAATGTCATAAAAAAGTTTGTCCATCAACGAGGAATGGTAAATTTTATCATGGATGTCAATAGTGGTCAGTCAATGTTGTTGTTAATATGTTTATGTAGGAAAGCTATGTTCATACGATATCAACATTTTTCAAGCATTTTAAACTCTTTTAATCCCATTTTATAGAAGCCTATTATTTTCGCGGCACCCCCGTAAAAATCAAGCTACAAACAAAACGTCTCTATACCCTTCTTAGTCTGAGCGTATGGTTATGGGGACACTAGACTATTGACCCATTACCCTAAAAAGCTTCGTACGAAACTATCGTATAGGATCGTTTATGTTTCCGGTTTATTTAAATCTTTAGTGTTACGGAGTGCAAAACCAAAAGTTCTAGATACCCTGGACAAGATAGTGAGCAACATGAGGAATGAAGGTAACTTTGGAATCTATTATAATACCAAAGTCCTCCTTAATTGAGGTCCTTGATTGCAAGTAAGTACCATCCACGCGTTAATGGTTTGCTATTTGTTTAATATTACGATTACGAGTGAAGGACATCTGAAAGCACGAACTTGCATTATGCTCCATACCATTACTTTTACACCAGTAATTTATTTTGTTGAAATCCATTTGAAGGGTTTCTAAATTAGCAGTACATTTTTTTCACTGAGAAATCATTGGTAGTTGGGCAGAAGAATGGGTATGTAGAGTATTAAAAGATATCGGGCATAAATGCGAACCCTGTGGCATACCAAACTTTTTTGAAGCTATCTTCTGTCGCCTTCTAATTTGTTTTTCATCACATATAAAGAGAGGTTGTAGGTAAGTATGGCTGGTACCATGTATAAATATATGTATGTACATATAGAGAGACATGTACAGTACATAGTAGGGGTATAGTAGGTACGCGACAAATCACCCACATTGTCCCAAGTAATTAGAACAAGGGTCCTAATTGCGCACCCATAGCGGTATATATTCCTTAATATTGACTAGACCTAGGGTCGTTTTAAACGACTATGTTAAGTGAGACGTTTTCACTTACAAGAGTAACTGTAACTGTAACTGTAACAAGAAGTACTGCCATCTTACCTATTTCTGCCGCCAAGCAGTCATCATTACTGTTACGGTTTTGAAGGGACTTGCTGGTGAAATTACAGGCACATCGGACTTGTCAACTTATGACTCATCGTCCTGCCACTTGATATTATGAAAAAAAATCTTTTTCGCAGTTTATTGCATGGACGTAAAACTTTTTCTGATCGGCTCAAGCCGTCAAGTGTTAAGTATAGTCACTGCCTTACATTTTACCATATTTGGCATTCTTGTTTGTTTGTTTTTTAGTCTAGCAATGTTCTTATGACGAAACATTTGAGTCGAACCATCCACTACTACTAGGCATATTTTATATTCAACTTTTAGTCAAGTGGAACTAACATTAGTGAGTATTCGCACTCACTCACATTTTAGTTGATAGCAGAAAAATGTGACGTAGAAGGTAATAACAACGTAATAAGGCCAATTCACATTGGTCCTTTATTTAAAGCCTTTTGAACCTCTAGAGTCTTGGTATTTTCCTTGATTTTTATTTCTTTTTCTAATACATACTGCTATGTGTATCACAACAGCAAACATCGCCTTTTTCACTTCCTATTGTTTTTTTTAGTTTATTTTCTTTTTATTATTGATTTTGTTTATTGAATGTGTTAAGTTTTACGATAATATTGTTACTGCGTATGATAATGCGAATATGGACTAACTGATGCTAGTTCACGTTGTCTATAAACATATTTATTGAAAGTCATTGTTTATTATAGCCTATGCACATGATGCATTTTTTACGCGCAAACGACGCGCGTTTCATGAAGGTTTATGGCGCCGTGGAGCCTCAAAAAGCAGATTTTGTATTTGTACAAAGCTATACAAACTTGCGCTAGAAGCGCGTTTGAAGCCCGACTACATTGCTTTTTACGTTCGTTTTAATGGATTCAAATGCGCACAAATATCGTTTTGTAAGGCTGAGAAAAGGGGCGAGTGAGGAGCGCGCTCACACCATTGCGCCGCTCTGCCGCAAATGACGAGCGTTTCACAAACGCACGTTTACGGCGGCATTGAATTGGTGAAAGTATGCAAAGGTTTACTGGCTGCGAAAGAATCTCGTTAAATTTGCGTCAACGCGCGATATCAGTGCGTACAGGTCTGGCGAATGCGCCGCGAACGCGCTTCGCGCGTGCTTCATGCGTGCAGTTAAGTACATGTGGCGTACGAGCGGCGCGCGAACGGCACGCGAACAGATCGTACTACGTAATGCACGTGCGCAGCTCGCGAGCCTTTCGCCAACAGGCATTTGCGGCGTATTTGCCAGATCTATACGCATCCTAAAAATAGGCAGTGTTCTCTCTCTCTTAGAGTCGAGTCCTCGGCATGAATTCAAAGTATTCCCGTACTAAATCGGTTGTATTATTAAAGCCATTTGAAAAATGTATATTGTATACTATACGTGTTCTATTCTAGTTCAGTTGATATAAAAAATATCATTGGCATATGTAAAGTAACTATTGAATACAGGGGTTTTCTTGTAAAATTTCGAAGTACGTTTGTGTTTCTTTTCTATCGTGATAATTTTAAGAAATCGTGTTTTCAGATCATAGACTAATCCGCGTACGTCCTCAATTTTACTATATATTTTTACCAAAGTGATTGATTCAACACTTTCATTGTTACGCGGAATCAACCAAAGCCATTGGAGGATGTATCCACTCTTAAGCTGCTATTGTTACAAATAAAAGAAATAAATTACTTTTTTTTACTTTGGAATTGCAAACGTAAATCAGCTTTTTCACAAATAAACGTTCAAAGTAAACAAGTAAGATGTTAATACGAGGACAAGTTGACAGTGTAATACACGGTGAACCAGTTTGTGAACATAATAGAGAATAAAAGAGGAAACATGGTGACGGTCATTTTGTGCGATACAAGAAATTTATTTATAACAGTGGACGGAAGGAAATACCTTTAAAGGAGGCGGAAAGAGACTGGTTTTATGTTACATAGACCTATTAACGATGTAGGTGGATGTGGGATTGTAAAAGCAAAGCCTGTGGGCCACAACTACAGACATACAATATGTAGATTTTTTTTTATTGCATCTTACGAATACTCGTATAGGCTTCAAATTTTGGCTACTCCGCCAGCTTGGACACTTGTCCAACAAAACAACGTAGCAATTACTTGAAGGGCATTACAACAACGTAAAGGTTCAATATCTAGTCCATTTTATTTTATGCCAGTGACTTAGCTAGCCTCCTAGGGATGGGGCAAACAATACAAGATCATATTGTTTGCTGATGATATTTCTTTATTATATACGCAAGGAATATTTTGTAATATAAACGTATATCTTTAAAGCTTTTTTATTTTATCTAACCTTAACCTTTGTAATTAGTTACAGACTTTTTAACTAAAGCTCGTAAGTAAATTGATTTCAGACTAAATTATTTGTAGCTACTTGTTTGACTAAGTTGAGGAAGCCATTGATAAGAATTCAGTAAAAGAATCCTTCTCAATTGGGGTAAAAAAACGGCTGATCGATCTTTTTTTTAACCGACTTTATAAAAAGAGGAGGTTAAGAATTTCAGTCGATACACACTTTATACCGGACCTGGAAGATTAACTCGTTCAAATGTGTATGATGGACACTGTAATACTATTACGAATACGTTTATTTTCTTCACAGTATTTAAAATAATTGTCATGCACTAAAATAGGAGCTAGACAAAAAAAACAGAAGTTATTATTTGAATAAAGTAAGAATTCTTGTACCGTCAACAGCATACGAAGCTATTGTATTGCATTATAGCACTTTTGTCTGAATATCCCTTCTAGTTCAACGGAACAACGTCA